CCCCCCCCCGTGATCTCCAACCTGACTCTGGGGTCTCCGGAGTGGTATTGCAGGGCCTCAAAGATCAAAGTCCCAACACCTGCAGCAGTTCCCAGGCTCTGTGGGCAGGAGGGGTCCCTGTGAAGATGCAGCCCCTCGGTGGCCCCATGCTGCCTTACAGGTGTCAGATCCAAACCGTTATTGCCGTTGATGAGAAACAGAGGTCTGGCAAACTGTCACCAGGGGCCTGGCCACCTACACTCATCAACCAGCCTGCCACTGAGAGTACAAAAAGGAAAACTGGAAGAATGAGCCCATTCCCATTTGGCCAAAGTGGGGGGACAGCTGGCGCCCTGCTCCTGTGCACACAGGGGGTTTTACCCCAGGAGGGGCAACACTGAGGCCAGGACATGCCAGGCCTAGAAAGATGCCAAAGCCTGGCCCTGTGGAATCATCCTCAGCACCAGGACTGCAGGTGGCCCTTGCCCACCTCAGAGTGGGGAAGATGGGCCAATAGCTTAGCTTTAAAACCAGTCACACTCCACTTCTGCTTCCCAGCAGGGACTGTGACTCTACTTTGTTAATTCTCTCTCTCTCTCTCTCTCTCTCTCTCTCTCTCTCTCTCCCCCTTCCCCCACCCCAAAATTTTATTTACTCATTTTTTATTTGCTATGCTGGGGATGCAACCAGGGCCTTCCACATACTAGGCAAGCACTCTACCCTGAGCTGCTCCTCAAGCCCCTTAAACTCATCTAGCTCCTTCCTGCCTCAATTTTCCCCCTAGAGTGCTCCTCACCACGGTGCTAACTAGGCCACCTCGGCATGCAGAGAGAACAGCTGGGACTCGGGTCCTTTGGGGCCCACGCCCCGTGCCTCAGTGTCAGCCTAGTCCACCACCTCTGTGACTTCGAAGGCCCAAGCTAGTCAGCCTGGAGAGACAGCTACTCCCGCTGCCTGTCTAAGAGCCATTTCCTGCCCCCCTCTTTCCCAGTGATTGATGGAACTTTAACAGCCTCTTGCAGAGCAAATGCCTCACCCCTCATCTTCCTTCCCACAGAGCTGACAAAGGTCCCTGAGGGCCAGGGAACCTTGGGTAGCAACAGCGCAGGGAGGCTCTGTCCCCAAGCTTTGGCTTTCGCTCTGAGGATGACACGCCATGACAAGCAGGATGGAGGGGAAGCAGATACTCCCAAATCCAGAAGTCACTCCTTTCTTTAAAATTGTTTAAAATGTATTTTCATTCTTCATCAACACCCAGTAAGTGTACGTAGCCATGGGGCTTGATGTAACATTTCAACACACGTGTGCAAGGGTCACTCGGTGGTCAGGTCCAGGACATCAGCAGGTCTGTCCTCCTGGACACTCAGTGCTTCTCTGTGTTGGGAACATCCACACCCCTGTGCTCCCAACCCAGAGAGTGTGGAGCCATAGCCAAGCCCTTTAAAAAAAAAAAAAAAAAAGCAAGTCAGGCACGGTGGTGCATGCCTCTGATCCCAGCTCTCTGGAGGCCAAGGCAGGACGACTGCCATTCTCGAGGTTACCCTCAAAAAAAAAAAAAATTCAATCCCCAGTTCTGAAAAATAAAATAAAAACTCTTATTTGTTTATTGTGGTAATAGAGGTTGAACTCAAGGCCTTCAGAATGCTGGTGAGCTCTGTATATTGAGCTTTCCCAAGTTGTTTTGTGCTAAGGATTAGATTCGGGGCCTTCACACTGAGCTACATCCCCTCTGCCGGGGAGCTGCTTTTGTTTTGAAACAAGGTCTCGCTGTGCAGTTGAGGCTGGCCTGGAACTCACTATGTAGCCCAGGCTGGCCTTGAACTTGCAGTGGCCCTCCTGCCTCAGCCTCTCACGTGCTGAGGAGGTCATAGTCATGCACCACAATGCCCTACCCATGGATTTGAACTTTTGATTCTCTTACCTCAGTTTCCCCAAAGTCTGGGATTCTAGGTGTGCAGCCCTACACGTGGGTTGTTTTACCCTTGTTTTGTTTTTTGGAGACAGAGCCTTGCTATGTAACTTAGGCCAGCCTTGAAATCACAGCAATCCTCCTACCTCAGCCTCCTGGGTGCTGGGATTACAGACGTGTGCCACCATACCCAGCTATGGTTTATTTTTTTGTTTTTAGCAGGGTCCAGCCTGCCTTTGAACACGTGATTTTTTTTGAGTTTCCCAAGTAACAAGGACCAGTCGCATGTGCCTCAGGGCTGCGCTGTGCCAGCTGGTTTGAAAGCCAGTTAATTCTTATCAACCAAGAACATCAATTCTGGCCAGGAAATAAAATTGAAATGACTCACAGTGTAGCGTCGAGGCCCAAGACAGGGGCACTGAGCTTCCTGGGTGGTCTGGCATGGTGCTTTCTTTGATCCCATCCATCAATCCATAAACGAGGCCTGTCACAGAGGGACGGGGACAACTGAAGTAGTGAAAATGAAGTTTGGCCGGGCGTGGTGGTGCACACCTGTGATCCTAGCACTCCAGAGGCTGAGGCAGGAAGATTGCTGTGAGTTTGAAGCCAGCCTGGGCTGGGTGGGAAAACTTAACTCAAAAAAAAAAAAAAGGAAAGAAAGAAAAAGAAAAAGCCAGAAACATTTGGACCCATGATATTTGCCCCTTCAGAATTATTTAATAATAAAAGTGGTGAGGCCGGCCGGACAGCTCAGTGGATTAAAGCCCCGGTTTAGGCAGACGCAGGGACCGGGCCACACACCCCCAGGGGCGTGCTGAGATGGCGACTGAGACTGGGTGTGGTGGCCGAGCTTGTAATCCCATCGCTTGGGAGGCTGAAAACAGGGGGATCACTATGAGTCCGATCTGTGTAGTGAGACCCTGTAGTAAATACATAAATAATAATAATGATGATGATGATAATAAAAGTGGTGTACAGGACAGAACATCCAGCCACTGAGCCCCATAGCACAAACGCCAAGAGACTTATCATGAAGTTAAATAAGAAAGAAGATGCCTACTAAGCCTAGAATACTCCTTCCCAGGCACATCCTCACTGGTACTAAGTAGCATGAGTGACAGCTATAGACAGCATCATCAGGGTACCGAGAATTGAGTGTGGTGGCCCAGGCCTGTCTGAGGCCAGGAGAGCATGGGTTCAGCGACATCCCTGGTTCCACGCTGAGTGAAATTCACCATGGGCAGCCTGAATAATGCAGCAGAATTCTCTGAAAACAACAAAATTTTATGACACCATTCTTTT